CATAAAAAAGGGAAGTTGTATTTTCTCTATGAAGTAGGACAAAGCATTTCAGCTTACCTCTTTTCCTGTCTTCTCACTGTTGGCGGAGATAAATCCCTTTAAAGACCATTTCTAATGTAAAAAACAAACAGATAAACAAAAAACCCAAACAAACAAACAAACAAAAACCAGTGTTTTAACTAACAGCCAGAAATATTACTGCCCCCTCGGGTGAGTCTCTGCTCAAGGATATTGCCTCTCTTTAGTGCCCATTACTCTTAACATTCTATTCTAAATAACAGGCACACCCCAGATCCTTTAGTTAACTAAGCAGCAAGACTTTATTGTAAGGCAGGTTAACCAGCTGTTTGATCTTTTCTGCTGTAATTTGTGTGTTTTGTCACTTGACTGAGTGTGCCCTTATCTACCCCTTTCAATTTCTTTCCCTGCCACAGAGCTGTCTTTCAGCCGCCCTTCTTCAGGTTCTCTCAGGTTTCGTTGTCTCTTTATGAGAGAAAAGTTAGTCAGTGAACTGAGCAGCTCTCTGTCGAGTTACGCTAGATATAGTCTAGTTTCTCTCTGTCTCTTTTTCTCCCTCCCTCCCCACTCTTTTTTTTGAAAAAGGGTTTCTCTGTGTAGCTCTGGGTGTCCTGGAACTCGCTCTGTAGACCAGGCTGGCTATGAACTCCGAGGTCCACCTGATTCTACCTCCTGAGTGCGGGGACTAAAGTTATGTGCCATTACTACCCTGGTGTGTGTGTGTGTGTGTTTACAGTCTAGTTTTTAACAATGGGATTAAAGCAGCAACTCTACTCAAATAACTTTATTTTTTGAGACACTGACCAATGTAGTCCAGGCTAGCCTCACACTTGCTGTGTAGCACAGGTTGACTTTGAACTTCCAGTTTCCTGCCTGCACTCCCTGAGTGTTGGATTTTTCAGTTGAACACCACTGTACCTGCTTTTCTGTGATGTTGGGGCTAGAACCCAGGGCCTTGTGCATGCTAGACAAGCATTTTTTTTTTGTTGTTAAATACAAAGATTTATCTCTTTATTTATTTTTATGTGTGAGTGCTTAGCTTACATGTATGAATGCAAACCATATGCATGCCCAGTGCCTGTGGAGGTAAGAAGATGGTGTCAGATACCCTGGAACTGGAGTTTTACATGGTTATGAAGCACCATGTGGGTGCTCGGAGTTAAATTTGGGTCCTCTAAGAAGGGCAGCTAGTTCTCTTAACCACCGGGCTGTCTCTCCAGCCCACACAACTTTATTTAATAACTTTATGCATCGATAGAGGGATCTTAGAGCTAAAATTGTAATGCACATCTAACCCCAAGGTCATTGGTAAGCCAGGCAAGTGGATACTTTTCCGAATGCAGACAAACCTGTTACTGTTTTCATTCTGTAACTTTCAGGACTTGCTCAGCACTGCGGAGGCGAGAACAGCTCTAGAAAAGGAAGCTAAGCTCTACCAAGAACGGCTGCTTGCTTCTCAGCGAGCCTGGGATGCTTCGAAGCAGGAGCTGAACCAGCTGAGGAAAAGCTGCCAGCAGCTGGACGTGAGCTTGAAGGCCAGCAGGGAGGCCGCCACAGCCTCGCAAAGCCAGAACTCCTGCTTCAGGGAGAAACTTGCGGCTCTTCTTTGCAGCCGATTCGACATAGCTGAGTCCACAGAGGACGCCATATTGGAGAGGATTCGAAAGCTAGGCCTTGAGGAAGAGAGCCAGAAAAGGGTGAGTAGTCCAGGGCCATTTATAACGTCCTCGGCCTTCGCTCAGCGTGTTCAGCCGCCATTTGTTGGAATTAGTTAACATATAATGGAACATGTTTGCTCCACTTCCAGCTGTACATAGGAAGGTGGGAGCCGTTCATGGAGTTGGCCATCATTCACGGAGTTGGAGCTGTCCATACTGAGTCCCGTCTCTCCATGCATTTACTCATGGTGGTGTAAACTCCCCTAAGACCCTGAGGTCATGGCTTCTGAAGTTTTCAATGACGTTCTTTCTCTGTTTCTTTGTCTCTTCTCCCTCCTCTGCCTCCACGCTTCTGTGTCTTGTATGTATGTATGTATGTATGTATGTATGTATGTATGTATGTGCATGTGTCTGGGAGCATGTAAGGGCATGAGCCTGAGCTGACTGGAGGTAACTACCCGGAGTCTACTTTTCAGAGACAGGCTCTTTGACTCAATCCCAGAGCTTGGCAATGTAGCAAGCCTCACTAGACAGCCTGGTCTGAAGAGCCCCTGTTTTTGCCTTTCAAGGTTAGAGTTACAGGCAAGCGACCAGGCTCCTAGGGACTGCTATTTAATGTTGGTTCTGGAGGCCCACGCCTGGCTCTCTTGCTCACACAGTGAGCAATTTAAGCTTGGGGCCATCTTCCCAGCCCCAATCATTTCTTTTTTCTTTTCTGCAATGTTGATGATAAAACCCAGACTTTCACACTTGGAAGGAAGTTCTATCACTGAACTACCTTTCTGACTTTTAAAGATTTTACTTTCTCGTCTTACTAGCAACTAGTGCAAAGTTCACAGTCTCTGCTCAAAACTGCAAAATTCTTCTGGTTCATCGTGTTTTCTTTTTGGGGAGATGTTTTTGGGGTAGAGTTTCATTATGTAGCCCAGGCTGGCTTCTGACTCACAGTAATCCCCCTGCTGTATAATGTTCCATGTGCTAGAATTGCAGACTTGTTCTACCACACTCTCCAGCATGCATTTGAACCTAGGATATTCATGGGCTTATTAAATAAATATACAACAAAACCATATATCAACCACACACAGCTCTCTACAAGGGGTTCAGACTGTTCCTCATCGCCAGACACAATTACTGTGCTAACACGGAACCGGTGAGCCAGATGAATGGAGACTATAAATTGCCTGAGCTATTTATGATGAGGATTTGCTATCCCGAAAGGTCAGGTCAGGCCAAATCTGCCTAGAAAATAACTTACAAATATTTACCTCGAAGGTTATTGTTTATTAGAGGCATTCAGTAGAAGAGTTGTTATATACCCTTATCACACTGTCTGGCTAATCAAAGCAACAAATGTTAACTATTGCTGCTGTGTTTCTTCCCCTCCATCCTCCCTTCTGTCCTCTCCATACTGTGCTGAGTCCCAGGAGAGCCAGTGAGGAGACCTACTTCATAAATAGTAACAGGGACCATTCGGGTATAGAGTAGATTCATGTTTAATTTTGCCATTATTCATACTGTTAACAACTGTCATTATCTACAAAGTTCTATTTAGTGGAGTTGACATCAGCTCAGACTGTTACAGGGATTGTCGATGTCAGATTAGGATGTTTGTCCTAAGTAATGAGCTTTGAAAGTAAACGGCATCATGTGCTTGCTGTCTTAGTTAGGGTTTCACTGCTGTGAACAGACACCATGACCAAGACAACTCTTATAAAGGACAACATTTAATTGGGGCTGGCTTACAGTTTCAGAGGTTTAGTCCATTATCATCATGGTAGGAAGCATGACAGCATCTCAGAAGACATGATGCTGGAGAAGCCAAGAGTTCTACATCTTGATTGGAAGGCAGCCAGAAAGAGGCTCCCATACTGGGCAGAGCCCGAACATAAGAAGAGACCTTAAAGTCCACACCCACAGTGACACACTTTGTCTAACATGGCCATACCTACTTCAGCAAGGCCACACCTCCTAACAGTACTACTCCCTGTGGACCAAGCATTCAAACATATCTGTCTATGGGGGCCATATCTGTTCTAACCACCACACACGTGCCTGTAGAATTGCATTATGGGTAGTTCTGTTGATGTTAGACTCACTCAAAGGAGAAGAGTCGTCTTGTCACTCACCTACAGGTCAGTACTGTCTTCTGTGTTCTCCTCTCCTTCTCCTGTCCCTGGAAACTATAGTTTTTGCTCTCTAGTGATTTATATTTGATTTATAAATATATATTTAAATATTTATTTCTATTTATTTCTATTTATATAAAAATATTTATATTTCTATTTTAAGAATCTGCATATAGCTGAGATCATGTAATATTTTTCTTTCTGTGTCTGATTTCTTTCACTTAACACAGTATCCTCTAGGTCCACCCATGTTGTAGTAAAAACGTTAATAGGGGAGATGATAGAGTCACTAATCTGTTCTAAGATATTTACTAAATATGTCTCTCAGACCATATATCTTTAATATACTTTAAATTTGCACAATAATTTTTATTTTTTTCCTTTTTTGTGAGTGAGTGAATGTGGAAGGTATGTGAGCATACATATGTATGTGTGCATATGTGTGTGTGTGTGTGTGCATATGTGTGTGTGTGTGTGTATGTATGTGAGAGTGTGTGTGTTTATAAGTGAAGACAATGTGACCCTTGGGTCAACATTGTCTCTCAGGTACCATCTAGTTATTTTCCTTTTTTGAACAAGGTCTCTCACTAGCCTGAAATTCACTAATAGGCTAGGCTGCCTGGTCATTGAGCCTCAGGGGTCTGTCTCTCTCTACCTCACCACGCCTTGCCTCTATTATGTGAGTTCTGTTGGCTGAATCCAGGTCCTGATCCTTCCAATGCAAGTGATTTACTGACTGAGCCCTCTCAACAGCCTTACAACAGCTTTTTAAAAAATAGTTAGTTTAGGAATGCATTTGTAAATAAAGAAAAAATGCATGCATGCTCTTCAAGCAGTTCTCGTGGCCTCTTTGGCCCATGCACAGTGTTTTTTCCCCCTCCCCTGGGCTGCAGCCTGTATCGTATATACCCCACTGAGGGTAAGGCCATTTGTTCCTGTGGCTCAGTTTACACCTAGGTACTCAATGAGTGGAAGAAAACATTTACAGAACTGGGACGAACTCCAGGAAGTTGTCTTGCGTGGTGATGCATGTGTGTGTGTGTGTGTGTGTGTGTGTGTTAATAGTTAATGTCCCCCCCCATTTTATTGCTTTTCACTCTACACATCTCAGCTTCTCCCTTGCTATTTTAATTCCAACATGAGGAACATGGCATACAGTTGCCAGCATGATGCATATGTTTATTTTCTAAAGCAAAGTAGTGAAATAGGTTAGGCTAGTTATGCCTCCGTCCCTCCCTCCCTTTTTCCCTCCCTCCACCCCTCTCTTCCTGCCTCTCTCCCTCCCCATACAAATAAGAACAATTCAGTCTTTTTAGTAGCTTTCTCCATCTCCCCTACCCTGTAATTTTTCTCAGTAGCCACCCTTCCCATTAAACAACCCCAAATCAAGCATATAGCTGGTGTCTCGTGTGACTCCTCTTCAAGTAAAATCAGGAGAAAATGGATTCTGCACATTGTCTTAGAAATGTTTTTGACGAACGGGTGCTTTAAAAATGGATGAATCTGTGCGGAGGAGGCTGCTTCTCCCTGCCAGCTGCCATGGCTACAGGCAGCCAGCTGTTGAGTTATGCTGTGTGAAGGCTTGTCTTGGTACAGTGTCCATCTCCTGTGCATTCTTACCTGCAGGACGTTGCTTCTCTTGTTTCCTCCTTCCTTGGCTATCTGTCCTTTCTCTCCTAGATTTCCAGTTCTTAGTAGAATCGAGGACACCACCCCTCACTTCTTTAGTAAGTCATGTCTACTTCTTCCTTGAATTTCTGCTTCTGGCAAAATTTTAATTTTCTCTTAAAAAAAACCTATCATATCTTAGAGCAGGTTCTGTTGATATTTAGACTGCATATCTTGTTATTTATATATTTTGAAGAGAAGATCTTGCTATGTAGCCAGACTGTTCTTGAACTCATGATCTTCTTACCTTGGCCTCCTAGGTGCTGAGTGTGCACCATCATAGCCAGCTTTGTATGGGATAATGTGTGTGTGTACATGTGTGTATGTGTATGCATATATATGTATGTATATATGTGCATGTGTGTATATATGTGTGTGTATGTATATATGTGCTTGTGTGTGTGGCAGATGGTGGTAGCATCTTGTGTATTCTAGGGTATTAGTAGCATCCCTAATCTCTTTCTGTTAGATTCCAATGGGACCCTCAGCCTCGGTTTGAGACACCCACTGTGTCTTCAGACATAGCCAAATGCCTCTCTGTCAAGAGCACAGTCATCCCTGGTTGAAACCCTCTGCTTCAGAGGAAGGTCCTACTGCTGGATTCAAAAAGGACTTTTTGGATGTTATTTAGCCTTGAATTTCAGGACATGTAACAGATGTTTAAGAACAAGGGCTCTTTGCATGACGGCCAAAACATGCAGCACGGTTTAAAGATTTTACTCACACATGCCCTGCAAGCAAATCTCATGGCCTCTTTAGCCCAATGCACAGTTTTGTTTTTGTTTTTCCTGAGCTGCATCCTGTAATGTATATAAATCACTGAGGGTAAGTCTATTTTTTTCTATGATTTAGTTTACATATAGTAAATTTTTGAGGTAAAAACTTCCACAGTTTGAGGTCTCTCCTAACTTACTAATCTGGGTGGGAATTGATTCTGTAGAGGATATGTATGACCTGATCAGTTTGTCTTCATTTCTTAAACTAAATATAGAGTCACACAAGCCTGTTGACTGATACAGACAGTCTGCTCTTTCTGCTTTTCTTTACTTACTAACCTCACTTGGAAAGTCTCACAGTCTGGAGGCTCTGCAGGTGCCGTGGACCCAGCTTCCTGTTCCCAAAGACCGGAGGGAAGTTCCATACCCCAAGTCCTCCAAATCTCACACCCCACCATCATTTCCCTGTCACTTCCTAGAGCAGACATTTCCCAGGAAGTGCCTGCATGCTCCCTCCCGGGTGCAGCAGTGTCTGGACAGCTGGAGGTGTGGTGTCCCCATCTTCCCTAGTTGTATTTGATTCCTAGACTGCATGAACAGTGTGCCACTCACTGGGTTATGCCAACAGGACTTCCTAGCTTATGGTTCTGGCAGTTAGAATTCTACAGTCAAGGTGTAGTTAGGGCTGGCTCCTGTGTTCATACATCTTACCTGGCTTCTGATGGCCCTGGGTCCTCCCTGGCTGGCACATGGGTTCTCTCCACAGTATCTTCCTTTTATGTATGTCTGTTTTTGCATCCGAGTTTCTCCTTTTATAAAGACAGTGGACAAAATAACCAGATCTCACCCCAATTACCTTCTTGTAAATTGGTTGTCTCTGCGAAGATCTTATGTCTAAATAAGTCCCATTCTTAAGGTTCTGGATTAAACCAACCTATTTCCCCTCCCCATCCCCCCACCCCATACCAAGCTAATCTATAACAAAAGTTGGCTTGAACAAAGAGGGAGGGAGCTGGGTTAGATGGTCCATATTGTTCACCACACATACTGACAAGAAGGAGGAACTTGGTTGATGTTATGCCTTGCTACCCAACAACTTATTTTATATACTTCCAAAAATGAAAAATATTAATTGACTAAGAAGAAAAAGTTGTTTCTGTCCAAAAGATGCGAGTCCTTAAGGATCCTTAGCATCCTTAGGATGCTTTTTCTGGCCACAAAGCTCTTGTGTTGTTTGGTAGAGCTTCAGAGCAAAAGGCCTCTCTGGGGAGATCAGCTGATCCTTGTCCTTGGGAGGTGAGTTACTTCTGAGGGCATTCTGCCTTAGCTTCCCGAATCTCTGTTGCTTCTTTTTGGAGGATGGTTTGCTAAAGTGCCTTTTTAATTAACCAGGTTGAAGTGCGTATTTTTTTGTGGCATGCCCATCCATTGTCAAGCCCCTACATCCTCAGCAGAGAAACCCTCAGAACATCAAGTATACCTTTGGATGGCACTAAGGAAGGATGGGAGAAGAAGTCTGTTGGTTTTTTTAGACTTCTTGGTGTAAAAAACAGCAGTATGGTTTGGGTGGGAACACAGGCAACTGGTATCTGGTGTTCCCAAGAATGTAGTCAGATGACACTTAATTCTTTGGAATAAATTTATATAATTTAGTTCTGAAAAAACAAACAGCCAACCAAACAAACAACCTCAGGATGTTGTATTCCCTGATAGCTAGCCGTGCTTCTGAAGCTCAGCTTTGTGATGGGATAAATTGCTCCACTTAAGACCCAGGACTCTGGTGTAGCAGTTTGATACATTCTGAGCAGTTCAACCACCTACTTATTAGTAGTCTGCAAGCCTGAGTTCAACTTTCAAGACTCTTTGGAGTATTCTTGGGTCCACACAGTTGGTGTGCAGGAAGAATTCTCTTGGCTTTATTTGACTCAAATGCTTTTGTCTCTCATATGTCTTTTATAGAAAGATTTCTAGTTGACCAAAGACTATAGCTAAAAAGGTTAGGAAACACAGGAAAATTTCTTTCTTTCATTATTTTGAGATGGGATCTCATTTAGCTAAGGCTGGCCTTGGACTAGTTTTGTAGCCAAGTATATCCTGATTTTTCTGTCTCCACCTCCCAAGTGCTGGTATTGTAAGCATAGGCCACCACATATGGTCAACAGAGGGAAATTTCTGAAGGTTAAAAAAAAAAAAACTCTTTAAGGAAAGAACATATGATTGGTTGAATCCATACTTTGGAGCGGAAATACTGATGAGAAGGACAGACACACTGTTCTGAACTCCAAGCATGTGTTCTGGTGATGGTTCTAGGAGCTGACAATGCAAATTGAGGCTTTTCAGAATCTTCTGCTCTGTGATAAAATTAATTTTTTTCCCTGGGGAAAAATAGTTTCTCAAATATGGCTCTGAGTAATTTACCACCAGACACTGATGTGAAATACCCATTGAAGTACAGAATGAATTGTATTATAGGCTTGGTACTCTGAAATCCATAAAAGCATAGAGGGAGGCTTTAGTTTGTTCAGTCTAGCTTCTTCCAGGTGTCACTTGGGTCCACTCTGGGACAAGTAGTTGATGGGCCTCTGGCCTTCTCCACTGACCGGGAACCCCTACCTGTTTGTTGCCTAATGTTTAGAGAGTTTTAATCACCAGAAGAAACATTCTCTTTTCTTGTATAAGGATGCTTGGGCTGGGAGTGGGGACATTGAAGTATGTCTTACGTAGATCAGGCTAGCCTGGAACTCCCGACAGTCTTGCTTCTTTCTATCTTCCAATGCTGAGAATGTTCTGTTTTGTTTATAATGGTGAATTGTTTTAGAGATTGAAGACAATCTCATACAGGGTAGGCACAAGGTGTACAACTGATTTATGTGCCCAGCTCTGTGATGAATTCTTTTGAAAGTCTTTTAAAATGCATTTGTTTTATTATTTTAATATGTGAGTATTTTGCCTATATGTGTGTATATGTACCTTGGAGGTCAGGAGAGGTCACTGGGACTGAGGTTACAGAAGTAGTGAACTACCATGTAGGTTCTGGGACTTGAACCCTGGTCCTCTATAAGAACAACAAATGCTCTTAATCAATGATCCATGCCTCTCGCCCCTTATGGTGGATTCTTAATGCAACCATTGAAATACTAATAATTTTGAATGACATAAAATGATTTTTAAAATGCTACTAGGTAAAAACAGAAAAAAGACAGAAAGTTGTATATATAACATAGTCTTGACTTTTTCCTAACAATATAAAACTGACACATTATTTTAAACACATAATTGTGGTCTCTGTTTGGAGGATCATAGAAGATTTTTTTTTCTTTTTTGCCAATTTATATTTTTGGCCCTTAATGAACATTTTACAATACATATTTATTATATTGCATTATATTACATAGGGGTGAATGAAAACTCAAGTAAATGTGGACTTTCTTTTCTAATTTATGTTTATTGGGCCTTCATTGAAGGTGTGAGGGTGAGCCAGATCAATTTTTTTTTCCGAGACAGGGTTTCTCTGTGTAGCCCTGGCTGTCCTGGAACTCACTCTGTAGACCAGGCTGGCCTCAAACTCAGAAATCCGCCTGCCTCTGCCTCCCACGTGCTGGGATTAAAGGCGTGCGCCCCCACCGCCCGAGGCAGATCAAATATCATCTATAATGGTATTTGAAAAGCTTTGCTGGCAGCTTCAGTGCCTTGCATCAGCATCTCTGTAGAAATGACTCGGGTGCAGCGAAGAGCCTGCTTCCTGTTCTTACTTTAGATTGTAACAAAGCTAAAGCAGTCATGGCAATTGACATTGTAGTGCTGTGTAAACATCCATTACTCTTTTCCTTTCTGCTTCCAAAGACAAGAGAAAACATATTTATCCACCAGTGGTTTATCCCAGTTTTATAGTGCTCAACGTTTCCTAAAAAACGAATTCACAAAAAATCATTGTGGGTGGTCTGAAAGTGCATGTTAAGTGGGTGATTAGACTTTTGCTCTTGGTTTCAGGGGACAGGACCATCAAGATAAAAGGCAGGGGTTCTTGGGAAGGATGCCAATACTGGGGGAATGTTTGGTGTCACTATATTAAAAAGAATTTGACCTTTCAGACCTTTCAGATACTAAAATGATAATATTAGTATATGAGTATGCCACTGAAGTCTATGACATGAATAACCAATATTCATTAGAAGGCTAAATAGAAGTCCCTCCAGGCTGCTTCTCATGATGAATAAACAAAATCTTTAATCGACGAGGTGTGGTGGAAGAGTCTCTCTTAGGGAAACAATATTTTTGTGGTTCTTGAAATTACTTTTTGGGGCTGGAGAGATGGCTCAGCGGTTAAGAGCACTGACTGCTCTTCCAGAGGTCCTGAGTTCAAATCCCAGCAACCACATGGTGGCTCACAACCATCCATAATGAGATTGGATGCCGTCTTCTGGTGTGTCTGAAGACAGCTACAGTGTACTCATCAATAAAATAAATAAATAAATAAATAAATATTAAAAAAAAGAAATTACTTTTTGTCTGAACCTTTTCCCCTTCCATCTTAGCTTTGAAATCTCTAAGTTTATAACAGTTTTAGAGGTAAGTAAATGATATCTGTAAATATTTACTGACTAAAGTTGTTGAAAGAATTATAGAAAAATGAAAAACATCCACCACTATCAGTTTGATACCTGTCTTAGTTAGGTTTCACTGCTGTGAACAGACACCATGACCAAGGCAATCCTTAAAAGGACAACATTTAATTGAGGCTGGCTTACAGGTTTGGAGGTTCAGTCCATTATCATCAAGGCTGGAGCAAGGCAGTGTTTGTCCAGGCAGACATGGCCCTAGAGGAACTGAGAGTTCTACATCTTGTTCTGAAGGCAAACAGGAGAAGACTGGCTCCCATGTGGCTGGGAGGACGGTCTCATTGCCCACCCACACAGTGACACACTTCTTTCAACAATGTCACACCAACTCCAACAAGGCTCACACCTCCTAATAGTGCCACTCCCTGGACCAAGCATATTAAACCACCATGATCACAAATACAGATTTATTTCAAACAGAGGAAAACACAGCTACAAAATGACCTATTTTAAATATAATTTCTACAAGGAATCTGGAAGTGGGCATTGTAGTGGTTCTTCTTGGATGGAGTGATGGATCGGAACACTTAGCTGAGTCTAAACAAGGCTTCCCTTTCTTCTCCGTCTTTGTTTCCAGATGGTCTCCCATCTTGAAGCCCAGGTCTCCGAGCTTGTTGGGAAGTTGGGAAAGGAATCTGAATCTCACGAGAAAGCCCTGCAGAGGGCCCACGAGGCAGAAAAGAAGTTGGAGGCCCTTCAGGGTCAGCTGAGTCACCTGGAGGGAGAGCTGCTTTCTGGAGACGTCGTGAGAGACAACTTGAATCTAGAGAAGCAAAAAGTAATAACGGGATGGCGAGTCCATGGCGCAAGTGTCTGTCATATGCTAAAACTGTACCTGAGAATGTTCTGAACATTGCAGTGTTTACACTGATCATGTCTTGAGTTACAAGCAAATTCCAAGGAATAAGCCTTTTCCTATTGTTTAGGGTTCTTTTGATTGTCAATCCAGGTGACCTGGTATATATTTATTGTATGTCCATTGTCTAAGATATTGATAGGTTTGGGGTACGTCAAGTATGGGTGATAATATTCTCTATTATTAAAGGTTCAGGGTTTAATAGATGAGACAGGCATTAAAATACACTGCTATACTAATATATATATTATAGCTGTTATAGTATTAATAAAGTATTGTAGTCATTTCTGGATAAGGAGATTTTACACAGATCAATTTATCTCTGAAGGATAAATAGGATTATGGTATGGGGAGAGGCAGGTGCTATGGGAGAAACAGTTTAAACAAAGGCCGGAAGCCTTGTAAATGCTGTACTCAGAGCACGCAAAACGAGTTATCACACTTGGTGGCCTGCTGCATTCTTAGTAGGGCTACAACAAAGTGAAGGATGGGATGCTGAGATCTTTTTAGATCTGAAAATCCCTTTTCTCCTGTAGAATAGAAGGCATAATTCATTACTGTGAACATCCCAGTGCATTCATTTGCTGCCTGGTGATGTTTTTGTCGGTGGTAGGCTGTTTGTATGACAGCGGTCCTGTATGATCATGCTGCACAGAGGCAGAACATATGCTTACCATGCACAAAGCCCTAGGCCACATACTCAGCACCTCAAAAGTTAAAAAATGATAAACGCGTCAAGTGATATTGACACTGTCTGTGATGCTCACCCAGCGACAGCACTGTCTGATCCTGCAGGTTTAGAACCTAGATCTATTGTTGAACAATTCACGCCTGGTGGAGAGGAGATGCCATGATGGGACAGTACCTACCCTGAAGGGATAATACCAATAGGTTAGAGGAGACAAGAAGAGAGTGAGAGAATAGTCCCCCTCCCCCAAGGACCTGAGTATGGGGAGGGCATCATGACTTTGATGTTCTACAGAACAGTAAGTAAGTGGGCCCACTTGCTCTGTGCTCAGTGTGAGTAGAAGGGAAGGGGTGGGGAGTCATGAGAAGAATGCCAAAAAGCAGAGTTGAAGAAAGGTATCATTGGTAATGGTGAAGAGGTCAGAGCTTGTCAGCTACAAGGGTCCATGGGAGAGAGGGCAGGAACCGAAAAGGAGGCACAGAGGATCATGAATATAGAGACAGCATTTGTCGTGACAGATACTCTTTGGTATTTTGATATTTTGGTTAAGAAAATTGTCTCTGGAGACTAACTCCTTTTCATTCTTTTGTACTTAAAAGAGACTGAGGAGCCAGGCAGTGGTGGCGCATGCCTTTAATCCCAGCACTTGGGAGGCGGAGGCAGGCAGATCTGTGAGTTCGAGACCAGCCTGGTCTACAGAGTAAGTTCCAGGACAGCCAGGGCTACACAGAGAAACCCTATCTTGGAAAGCCAACCAACCAACCAACTAACCAACTAACCAACTAACCAACAAATCAATTAACCAAAACAAACAAACAAACAAGAGATTGAGGAAGTGCCATGGCTATATTGGGGGACAGATATGCAGAGATGCCTAAAAGATGTCTGTGGAAGCCAGTCCACAGGAGGCAGATAGATAAGGTATCATTGATATATCTAGTGATCTGATGGAGATAGTGTGGGATGTGACAGGAGCTTGGGAGGGGGCAGGAATAACAGCTTCTTTCTTCCATATACTGGGGACGTTATCCTCCTCCTCCTCCTCCTCCTCCTCCTCCTCCTCCTCCTCCTCCTCTTCTTCTTCTTCTTCTTCTTCTTCTTTTTGCAAGGGCCTTACACTGTAGCTCAGGTTGTCCTTAAACTTCATATCCCAGGTTGACCTGGAACTCACATTTTAGTACAGGTTGGCCCTGAACTTGTGGCAATTCTCTTACCTTCCTCCTAAGTGGTAGAATTACAAATGTGAACCTCTAGGACCCATCTTTGTGTAGGTTGATTTCTCTTCTCTTCTTTCCATATTAATATATTGCTATTCTTAATTGAAATTATGCCAAAATAGTTTTCAGTTATGAAAGCAAATTACATAAGCTAATTATGTCTATAGTGAGTTTTCCACAGATGCAAGTAGTAAGGGCAAGTTCATGTAAAATTGAAATTGAGGCTGTACAGAGATTAAGTGCTAAATATGATCTAGGCTCATGCAATACAGAATAGAACACATGATCTCTAACTCATGCTAACCAAATGAATAAAACATACAGCAACCCTTTATGTCTATACAGTTAAAGATTTTTAAGCCAGTAAGGCATGCCTGTATAGGGCTGAGGCATGGGACTGTGAGATTGAGAATAGCCTGGGTTACATAGTAGGTTCAAAGCCAGCCTGGGACACATAGTGTTAGCCTGTCTCAAAACAAAACAAAAAATAGAAAAAGAATTCAAAAAATGTTTCAACTGCAATCTTAAAAAATTATTTTATTTTATTTTTAATTATGTGTGTGTGTGTGCGCGCGCGTGTGTATGTGTGTGTCTATGCACATGAGTATAGGTGCATGAGGAGGCCAGTAGAGGGCATTTGATCCCCTGGAGTTGGAGTTAGAGGTGGTTGTGAGTCACTTGAATGAATGCTGGGAAACAAACATGGGTCCTCGGCAAGAACAGTGCAGACACTCAATTGCTGGGCTGTTCCTCCAGCTCCATCACTGTCACTTTATGGGCCAAAGTCCTTGAAAGAGCCATCTAGTCTGTGGGGCTTTGGTTTGCTCCTAAGTGAATCTGTTCTTGCCCTTTTGTAGAGCTGCCATGCAGTAAATGGGCCACATATAGAAGCAGAAAAAGATTTTAAAATTTTACATGTTAAGCCTCTCTCAGATATGTAATTGGTAAAGATCTTTTCCCAGTAGTCTGCCAGTTTGCCTGAATGTGGTGTCCATAGGTACGAGAACTTACTTCTGGGTCTTCAACTCAACTCCATTGGTCAACATGCCTGTCACTGTGCCAATATCATGTACTTGTCATTCCTACAGCTCCGTAGTACAACTCAAGATGAGGGATGGTGATATCTCTAGCAGTACTTTTATTATCTTGGATTGTTTTTAGCTACCCTGTGTGTGTGTTTCCATATTGAAATTTGTCCTTTCAGTTTCCGTGAGGAATTGTGTTGGAATTCTGATCGAGATTGCATTGACTCTATAGATTGCTTTTGGTAGGATGGCCAGTTTCACTATATTAATCCTACCAATCTATGGACATAAGTCCCCTTCCTTCACTTAAATTACAGTCAATAGAAGCTAGGTCAAGCTCAAGCACAGGTAAGAGATGAAATAAAATCCCAAAGGGATAGCCACCAGGGCAAGAAGGATCTGACAGCGTGACATCACATACATAAAATTGTGGCATCAAAGCATAGTGAATGATGTTATATTGGTAGTTACTATAGCTTATACAGATGATTAAGTTGTATTTATCTGTATGCTATTTAACAAAATTGGAAAATATACACTTACAGATAATATCATCTTGATGACTAAAATACAGATAGTTCTGGTCTTTAAGCTGATACACTGCAGGAAATTATTCTCATTTCAACATCTAATTGCCTGAAAGCACCAGATGCTGAGGAGTTACTGCAGCAAGGAGATATCAGAGATAGATCAGAGATAGACCCCAGACCCCAGACAATTATCACAGACCAAAATGGGCTAATGTACTCATTCAGCATACAGCACTCTGTGTCTGAACATGCTCAGATAAAAAATAGGGTCCAAACCAAGGAAGACCTTTAAGCTTTGAGGGAGTTTAGTCTGTTAAAATATGAAGTGTGGGGACTAGAGAGATTCAAGGGTTATTAGCACGTGCTGCTCTTATAGAGGGCTCCGTCAGCACCCACCCTCATGGTGTCTCACAGATGTCTGGAACTCAAGTTGTAACAGATCTGGTGCCTTCTTTTGGACACTTCAGGTACTGCATGTACATGGTGCACACACACACACACACACACACACACACACACACACACACGGGCAACACACATGAAAACAAGTCAAATATTTAAAAGAATACAAACTATGACTAATTTCATACAGTTCTGCTTTTTATATTGAATTAAACACTTTAAAGAACATTTCCTAAAGACTGCCTACACTGTGTGTGTGTGTGTGTGTGTGTGTGTGTGTGTGTGTTTAGGCCAAAGGTTGAAAACATATGTCTTTCTTAGTTGGTCTTGGTCTTACTTCTTGAGATAGGGTCTCTCACTGAAATTTACTAATTTGGCTATACTGATTAGCCAGTGAGTCCCAAGGCACACTCCTGTCTCTGCCTCCCTATGCTGGAATTACGAGCATATCCAGTGCCTGGCTGTTTTAAACATGTGTGTTTTGGGGCTTACACTGAGGTCCTTTTGCTTGTACTGTATATACTTTACCAACTGAGCCACTTCTCCAGCCTCATTGAAGCATTTTGACAGAAACCAAACCAAACCAAACCAAACCAAACCAAACCAAACCAAACCAAACCAAACCAAACCAAACCAAACCAAACCAAACCATGACAAAACCACCCCAAACCTCTCATTCAGCTTTTGTGTATATATGAAGAACTTGGTTTTGAAGTGATGGCTAAATGCTGGGACAGCCTAGGAGGGGCAAGTCTTCTGTGGCCCTTTGCTAAGACATGTAGAGAGAGACCAGGGGTGGAATTAGAGGTATAGCTCATTCATCATATGGAAGGGCTTAGAAATGTGTTTGATATTAAACTGATGTCCAAGCTATAGGCCAGGAAAGTCCAGAGTATTTGGACAGAAAGATGATAGAGATGGTAAGATTGTTCTAATGTTTACTACCAAATCTTGAGGTCAGAAGCCTGGCTCTGGGATGGCCTTAAAGAGAACCACCTGGAAGGTTTCGAGAAAGAGAAGGATTGGGGAGACCACACATTAACTTCCATGTTCCATTTTAATTTCTGTTCCTGGGTTTAGTATATGAAGTTTCTGGACCAGCTGTCAGAGAAAATGAAATTGGGCCACGTAGCTGCTGAGCTTGGCTTTGACATGCGTCTAGACATAGTCTTAGCTCGCATAGAGCAGTTAATCCACCTCGAGAGCAATGCCGTCGTTGAGAACAAGACCATGGCTCACAACTTACAGAGAAAGGTAGGCAACAGTGCCCTTCATAGCACTGAGAAGAGAAACTACTTGGAAAGCCCAAGTGTTAAAATGATTTTCTCCCACTGTGACCAGTAGCGTGTTTAAGAAGCATTTCATAAAGTTATGTATTTAGAGGCTGAGTCTCAGTTCTCCAGTCTGAAGATCTGAGGGCAGTCCATCCTTGCCACGGTCTTCATCTCCATGGTCCAAAATAGTCACTAGAAGCAATTGTCTGTATTTCATACAGAAGGTTGGAGGATGGGAAGAAGAAAGCCAAAGATACAAATGATGTCTTGTAAAGAAGGTTCTGGAAGATGCTAGCTGAAGTTATGTTTATAGCATGGCCACAATTCTCCTGACCACACCTAGTTGCAAGAGAGACTTGCAGACAAAGACATTGAACTCATAGTTTCTGCTCTGTTGATTGAAAAGGAAAGCTGGGAGTGTTGAGCAGTTCTGCCTATATCAGCCCTATTGAGCCAGAAGCACAGAGAAGGGCTCTCTTTTCTTCCCATTGAAGTCAGAGTTAGAAATGGTTTAAAGCAAATGAATGAGTGAAAGAACAAACAAAACGGATAAAGCATAATTATTAGTCTGACAATTATCAGCATCACAGGGAGAAAAAGGAAACACAGATGCGTTCTCATAATGCTTCTTAGGAGAACCATTCTGTGTAGAGGCTGTACAGTGAGTCGCAGCTGAGTCCTTGGACTCTGCCAGACGGTGTAACCTGGGGCTAATCACACGCTTCTGTCTGTTTCTTCATATTATGACAGGAAAGCCATATGCCCACAAAAGAGTTAATTTAATTTAAGAAGCAGAAAATTTGAACTCTTGTTTCATAGAATAAATTTTATTCCCTCCCATGGCCTCTACCACAGTTCACTGTGTCTGGAACAATCTCTCTCTCTCTCTCTCTCTCTCTCTCTCTCTCTCTCTCTCTCTCTCTCTCTCTCTCTCTGAGAGAAAACAGAAAACCTGATCACCATCAGGGATGTTGAATCGGGCCACAATTCTTTCTTCACTTTTCAGAGAATTGATTTCCTCTCTTAATACTCAATGCTATCTCTTCTTAAGGATTCTATCATCATTACAATGACCAGTGTACAGAATCTGTCAGTGGACATTTAGATCAGAGTGAAGAGGGGGAGATGGGAGGAGGCTGAGTTTGACCCATGGTATCCAAAAGGAGAGGTTTCTCTGTAGCCCCCATGTACCGCACACACTCTGTGACACACTATGACACACGCTGTGACATTCGTGTGCTCCCTGCCATGCACACAATAAGTAAGAATGTATTAGAAAAGTCTGGTGGTCTCACACCCTTGGGAACACAGGATGTTCCTTAATGGATTCTGCGGGAATACAACAGGAGAATAATGATACTGATTATAAAATAAGGGTGACAGGGGGCTGTGGTTGGGGAGGAGGTGACGCAGGAAGACTAAGGTTTCAATAAGATCAAAATTCATCTTGTACACGTTTGAAAATTTCAAAGAGCAAATAAAACCATTATTCAAAAATGTTAAAAGGGATTTGTTTAGAGAACTATCAGGAAGGTTTGTTAAGGCGTGACCCAGCTGTGGACACAGCTGTCATGGATAGGCAAGACACGCAAGGCAGGTTTTTCAATAAGTCCTTCAACCTTGTCATAACACTTCAGGGACAACGAAGGGTTATGCTACAGTCAGTAGGGGAGTTCTGCAGTTCTTCTCTATCCCTGCCCCAGTGTTTGTGACCAAAGCCATCGCTGCCTGGATTTAATATCTGCCCAGAAAAGTGACAGGCAGAGCCCAGGAGACACTCTCCCTCATAGTCATTTCCTACAAACAATTTAATTCCCTTCATCAACTCGATTGGCAACATAAGCGATGTTCTAAGACCTTACCCTCCGCTTGGTTGGAGGAGCTCATGGGCCCCTGCATAACACAAAGAGTTCGAAGAAGCGAAATCTCAATGAAGTCTGTTTCTGAGAGTCAAAGTTTGTAAACAAAGCTTCCTTAAAATTCTCCCAGGTACATCCTTCTGTAAGAATATATTGACCTGCAGCCTCAGAACTACTCAGCCCGGTTCTAAGGGGGCTCAGATTATCTAGGGCAGGTTTTCAGTATGATGTGGGACTGCTCTTGTTTCATAAAACACTGGCGCGGGGATCGTGGCCACTGAGCACTGAAGAGGATTTGTCTGTGTCTTATTATATTCTACTTATTCTGCTCTTGATAAGCCTATTTTATTCGTCTTAAAAGTAATTTTACATCTTGATTATGAGGCACAGAATATTGGATGAAGCAGCTGTGGAGAACTGACTTTTTTTTCTCATATATTCTGGGGGCTCTTTTGTCCCATACTTTGTAGCTACAGAATTAATTCTTGGAAAAAATACGAATAAAAAAATTCAATCAGGGAAAGGAACCCGGTGACCTCTTTTGATGGTTTGCAAATGAGTCTTATTGAAGTACAGATAAAAAAATCGACATTATCTGAGTAATTCATTTATATTTACTGACTGTTCAATTATTTTTTTTTTTTTCAAAAAAAAATCCATTTGTATCAAACCAGCTAAAGACTCAGAAAGAAAGACTGGAGAGCAAAGAAGTGCATATGAACCTCCTTCGGCAGAAAATTGCCCAGCTGCAGCAGGAGAAAGAGGCGCGCTCGGCCTTGGCTGTGGAGAGAGACGAGGCCCATCTTGCCTTGAGGAAGCTGGAGAAGAAGGTGGAGAGGATGCAGAAGGAGTTGAGTGCGTGTCAGGAGTACAACACTGAGCTCAAAGCCAAACTGGCGGACACCAATGAACTCAAGGCAAGTGGATGGTTCCTTCCTCTGCTCCTCTCTGCCAGTGTATACACAAGGAATGGCAGCATGTGCCTGGAATACTGGCACTTAAGAGGTAGAAGCAGGCAGGTCAGGAGTCCAAAGACACTCTTGGTTAGATGGATAGCTCAAGGCCAGCCTGGATTTCATGAGACCTTGCCTCAAATAAAAGAGGGGAAAGGGTGGGATTGGCGAGATGGCTCAGTGTGTAAAGTCTCATCCTATAAGTGGCCTGACAGGTGTCTGGAACTTTTTTTCTTCTTCCTGTATGAGATTCCTGGGGAAATTCCCATTTCTCTGGGGTCCTTTGTTTCAACAGTCTGATTGTCAGATTGAGAGACCCAAGTGTCTCTTTAGAATATCTCCGTTTCCTGTAGGCCAGTGACAGGGGTCTCTGTTAGGAATGTGTTTAGAAGGAAATGAGAAAGTAACTGATACTCTGTTTACTGAGAATTAGGGTATTATCTTAGTTTGGGTCATTAGTTCTGGGATGAAACACAATGACCTTTCGAAAATATGTCGGAGAGGAAAAGATTTATTTGGTGTACACTTCCATTTTCACAGTTCATCATCAAAGGCAGTCCAGGCAGGAACCTGGAGGCAGGGGCTGATGCAGAGTTTGTGGGGGAGTGATGCTTACTGGCTTGGTCCTTATGGTTTGCTCAGCCTGCGTTCTTATGGAACCCAGGACCACCAGCTCAGGGATGGCCCTATTCACAGGGAGCTGGGTCCTCCCCCATCGATCACCAATTAAGAAAATGTCCAGGATTGCCTACAGCAGATCTTGTGAAAGTGTTTTCTTAATTAAGGCTTCATCCTCTCTGAAGAAAGTAGTTTTTGCTCATGTCAAGTTGACATAAAACTAGCCAGTATAAAAACACACCATGGAGACGGCCTGCAGGGGGATGGACAGGTACTGTTGTAGTTCATGAGATGGCCTGCAGGCAGGGAGATGGACAGGTACTGTTGTAGCTCACATCTGACGTAGTTCAGTTCTGGATATTTGCTTAGCGATTTCCCTCTTGTTCAGGGGGGATTTATTTTATTTATTTATTTAAATTAATGAATTAGCCTGTACTTAGGACTTCATTTGATTGGAAGACATCCACCCACATTAGCAAAATCTGCCTTGAAATAGGTTTAGAGTCTCAATTAAAATTGTAACATCTACAGGAGGCAGAGGCAGGAGGATTATGCATTTGAAGACATCCTAGGCTACATAGTGGTAGTCTGTCTTGGCAAAGCAATGGAAACAAAAGCAAAAAAATTACCTATTTTTAATCTGACCTGCAAACACCCTCTAGGAAACATCTAGAACACATTTTCTCAAATGTGGGACATGTGTAACCCAGCCAAGTTGACTGTAACTCCTTTTGATGGGTGAATAATAATCCATGACTTGGATGTACCACTTCCTGTTTGTCCATTAAGTATTTAATAGATGTCTGAGCTGTTTCTAGTTTGGGGCTGTTACAAATAAAGCTGCTATGTACATCTGCACATCTGTTGAAAACTAAGACTGAAGAACTTGACTCCAGGTTGTCTGAATATCTCCTTGTTAAGACCTATGTATTAAGGTTTCCCTTGAGTTCTAGACCAAGAAAAAACAAAACCCTTTCCAGACGAACTGTTCAATTTAAACTATTGAAAATGATATTGGTGTGCAAATCTAAGTATTACGGAAGTATTTTTTGAAAGACAAAGCTATTTTTTTTGCATAGATCGCCCTTCTTGTGTTAAATTTAGAATAATTTGTGATGTTGCTTACTTAGGATACTTAAGACTATGTAGCTTTGTTAATTTTTGCCATTATGAAACCAGAACCAATTTGGAGATCAAAGGATGAAGACTCAAATTAAAAAAAAATTAACAATATTAACATGGATGATGCAGTGTCACCAAAATCACCATTAACAAGTATGTGTGGTGGCATTTTCGAGTGTGTCCTACCTGTGCCCTCCATGATGGAGTCTGGTCTACCACATGTTTTATCTTCTTAGCATGAACCCCCGTGCACATGATGATGTAGTTTGGTCTTCAGTTTGCGTAACTATATGAGTTATGCATTAACATGCTTCTTCATTCTTTTCTCATTAACCTGGAATTATTAAAGCAGTGTTACTACAGGCAGAAGCATCACCTTATAAACAACTGCAGGCACTGAAACCTTGTGGCAGAATTCTAGGCAGTGTAGCAGAGGTTTTGTGTAACCTCTCCACAGCCAGATGCTTTACCACCTGTCCCCAGTTTCCATGGACTACCTAGAAACATCCCACAATGTCAGAGGCTCAGACAGGAAGGATGTTAATTAGTTTTCCACTGAAAAGAATCAAGGACTGGGGTGGTAACTTAACGGCAGTGTGCTTGCCTTGCGTGTATGGGCCTCAGGGAAAAGCCTCAGCCCTGTTGGTGTGTGTGTGTGTGTGTGTGTGTGTGTGTGTGTGTAAGGGAGTGGACATGCCACATCTACAAGGACCCCCTAGTGGTCATCAGAAGCCCAGAGTATTTGGATTTCAACTTGAGCAACCTAGCCAATGTTTTCATCCTCTCTCATCTTTGGAAATACCTCTTAGCCCCACGTACTTGTTGGGGCTCCAGCTTACTGCCAGGCACCAGCCAGGAGGAAGGGCCTGAAAAACAACAACCTGTTGGCTATTTTCTGGAATGATATAACTGGTGGGAACTTAGTTTCTTGACTTTGTTTAAATGAGGTCAGCCCATGGTCACTGGCCAGTGAAAAAGAGAGGAAGATTAACTGTCTAATGGACAGTTTTAAATGTCAGCCCCATAGCATGTGGCCTAACCCTGATAGGAGCTGTGGCTCCAAATCAGTTCCAAAGCCCACAGGAGAGTCAGTAGTGTCTCCTTTGTGGTCTCCCAAGAAAGCATCAAAGCAGAAAATAGCTGCTAGCTGCAGACAGAACTTTTTTTTCTCTGACTTTTTTCATAGATCCTGTGCACAGAAGCTCCTCCCCAAGTTCTTCCCCATGGAGCTGGTTCCCAGCCAGCCAGTGTAGCCCTTTACTCTTCTTCCATGGAGTCAATGCCTCTAAAATATCCCAGGCCTCCTGGATTGCTTTTCTCACTGCACAGTGAGCAGAACCTGCAAAGGCAGAGTGCTTGCTTTTGGGGTGAGGGTAACTGTGCTGCCAGCTCCAGAATATGGTCTGCGAGGGACAAGGAGGGAGGAGAGAGTGCAGAGTGAGACATCTCCCCCACATAGCTCCGACTTCATGGACACTGCATCTGTTCTGGGCAATAAGATTCTAGAATGGTGGTTCCCAACCTGTGGGTTCTGACCCCTGGACAGGGTTCGAACAGATAATTCACATTATGATTCACAATAGTAGCAAAGTTACAGTTATGAAGTAAGCAAAGAAAATAATTTTATGGTGGGGGGTGGGTCACCACAATGGGAACAAAAGGGTCACAGTGTTAGGAAAATCCAGGACCACTGCCTTAGAACACTGCTGAGTTGCTTCATGCAGCGACCTGCACACTCTGCTCGACATCTGTCGGGGACTTTAGTATACTGTTGACATCTGTCGGGGGTTTTAGTACACTGTCGACATATGACGGGGGTTTTAGTACTGTCTTTAACAACTGTGTCTGGAGACTTAGCCCCTATATTCAGCCAACACTTAAGAGTTGAGACTTAACCACCTTTCCTGTCTGGGCCTTCAACACTTCCATGTAAGAAAGACTTGCCCACCAGATTGCATAGTTGTTCCCTGGGAAGCAGCACACAGTGTTTACCATGAATGGTACCCTGGGAAACTTCCCTGTCCTGGCTGGCCTCTCCATGGTACATTAATCTTGTTTATGGCCAGTTCTGTCTCACTGGAGGAAAATTAGAGGCCAATTGCTTGCTTGCTGAACTCTGAGCTGGTCTGAGAAGTTCCCTCAGGGGGATTAAGAAACCAACTTAGTGCCACCCCGCTCCCAGGCATCTGCTGTTGGTTTGATGGCTTGACTTTAGAGTCTCCATCATTCTTGCTGGCTCCCAGCTCTGTCCTGGTGGCACTCTCTTTTTTGTCCCTATCCCTTGACAAGGATCCAAGCAGTCCTCTGAGTAGGGGACCAGTGACGTCCTGAGTGAACGTGTGCGGTTGACATGAACACAGGCATCTCAAGGCCTTGATGCCTCGGCCTGTGGCAGTGGTAAAGCCTTCCCTGGTGAGAGGGTCACAGAGTTGGCAAATCTTTTCTGTGGTTGGAGTGCAAATGTGAACGGCACAGAGACTGTAGCTTTCTGCCCCTGGGTGTTTACTGCCTGAAGACTGCTTCCCTACAGAGCCTATGCCTACTGAGATTAGGTACATCTGCCTCCTTATTCACTGATTTATCATTACTCTGGCTCCTTGTTTATCTGTGTGTAGTAGCCCTGCCTCCATGTTTAGCTCTATGTGACAGCCTGACCTCTATGTTCGACTCTATGTGATGCTGAATTTTCTGGGTGCTGTGGCTTCTTCATCTGCGAGTTCTAGATACATGCTCACGTGTCTGCCATTTCCTCATTCTCTGGCTCCCCCAAGTCAGGGTTCTGGGACCTAAGCTATGCAAGGACCTGCATCTCTGGGCTGTGATAAAGCCTCTGGTTATTCAGAGTCTGTTCTCTTTCTTCTCATTAGGACTGTTTACAGCTCACTTCTAGTCTCTGAGCTGTGACCCACCTGTCACCTCTGGTAGACATCTCAGCATGTTTTCTCAGCCTGAGTGGAAAGCTGAATCATGGGAGGGTACGTTGGATACATCTTGACATACCACTGAAAAGATAAATCAGTTTTTCCTTCCCACCCTTGGTCGCATAATGACAACTGAGACTAATTGTTTATTAATAAATGCCTAGGCCACAAGCTTTGGCTCGATCCCCAACTAGCTTGTATCTTATTTAACCTATTCAGTCTATTCTGTGTCTTTCATATGGTTAGTTACTTCTCCTCAGCTTCATGTGTTCAAGTCCAAGGTGAATCTTCCCTTTCTTCTAT